GAAGCAATACATCTGCCCCCCAAGCATGGGGACCTTCCTGAGTCAAAGCCCCATCTGTGTGTCCTGGCTCAGAGTGGACACTCCTTGTGAGAAGCTCAGGCCACACTGGGGACTGGGGCAGAGATTGACCTCTGCCAGGCAATGCCCACCAACCTGTGGCTGATACCTGCCCCACCAGAGCAGGGTGGGGAACAGGAAGGACAGGGAGGTGTGCTGTTTCAGGAAGCTCTTTCTTTCCAGAGCCCACCAGACACTGGGGTCCCCTCTCCTTCCCACTTTGTTGGTCCATTCCACCGGTCTGCTTGTATCGGATAGGCAGAGACCTCAGGATTGTTTGTACGTGGTACGCCATGGCATATCCCACCATCCACGGTTACTGCTTACACAGTTCTCAGTCAGCCCCCAAAGCAGTTGTTCCCCAGACCACAGCATAGCCCCTAGCAGGGTGGAGATGTTGATAATGCTCCCATCACACACAGAATAAAATCCTAAGTCCTCACGATGGCTCTCAAGGCCTTACTTGATCGGACCCCAAAGAACTCTGGATTCATTGCCTTCTCTCTCCCCCTTGCTATGTGAGCTCCAAGATCCCAGGTTGAAATCTCCATTCAGCCACTTAATAGCTGTGTTACTTTGGACAAGTCCTTTCTGAGCTACCATCTCCTGTGCAGAGTAGGGATAATAAAAGTACTTGCTTTGGGGCGCCTGGGTGGCTCAGGTGGTTGAGCGTCTGCCTTTGTCATGATCTTGGGGTCCTGGGATCAAGCCCCGCATTGGGCCCCCTGCTCAGTGGGGAGCCTGCTTCTCCCTCTCCCTGCTGCTCCCCCTGCTTGTGTGCTCTCTCGCTCTCTGTCAAGTAAATAAATAAAATCTTAAAAAAAAAAAAAAGTGTTTGCTTCAACGTCGTGAGGTTAAGCAAGAGAATCCAATGGAAAGCTCTAAGAATGTGCCTGGCACATAGTGAGCACTTGGCTACTATTTCTGCTTCTCTCGCTCCTCCTCTGTCCCTCTCAGTCCCACCACCCCCACTGTGCACATCTTAGGGCCTTTGGAGGGAGAGCTGTGGAGCCCCAGGCCTTCCACCTCCAGATGAGACTGCAGAGGCCACAGTGGAGGAGGAACCCGCTTCAGGGTCACAGAGCCAGCCTGTGGCCCAGGCAGGACTTGAACCCAGGACTCCTGCTGAGGCCCCCTGCTCCTTCTGCTTGTCCTCCCTTCTCAGCCCAGCCCAGAGTGGCAGCAAGCAGGACCTACACTTATGTGCTTGGACCCCATCAGGCTCGACAGCGTTCTTCTCCAGTTTAAGGAATGAGTTACATCCTGAGGTCTGTTTCATGGCCCGTGTGTAATCTTCCTTATGATGCTTTATCCTATTTCTGGGGCAGCATCTGCGTGGCTTTGAAGACTCTGGCAGGAGCTATGAACAGGCTGAATTACATTTACAAGAGGCCTTTAATGCCCTGTGGTCTTGGCTTCTTTAATGGGGATTTTCCTCCTCCTCCTCTTTTTCTCTCTCCCTTTTAATCCGGTCCCCGGTATGGCTTTCCCAGTGCGGTCTGGATTCCTAACAGAGAAGTCAAGACCAAAGAATCCCTTCCAGATCTTCCCTCCCTCTTTCCCCTTCCTACCCTCTGCGGCCTGTGCCAAAGCCCCAAGAAAAGAAAACGTTGCTCCTGTCAGGATTTCAGTGGGAAGGAGAGAAGCCCTGTTGGGGTTCCAAAAAATCAGCCGGGAAATGGCTGCTATGGAAATTCTCCTCTGACTTTGCCCCTGAGCAACAGACCCATGAGCCTTGTGTGTGTGTATTGGGTGGGGGGGTGGAAGGTGTCCGGCCAGAGGCAGGGCGGCCTCACTTGCAGGGGGTGGGCGCGAGGGGCAAGGTAGGGGTGCCGTGCCAGTGTGGGCGGGGAGCCCATGCACCTGTCTCCCCACCTCTCCCACCCCCATCCCTCCCTTCTCCCAGCCTTCTGCACCTTAGGGAGGCTTTCATTGTCCCTTAACTATTAGTTTTCTGCTGGTTCTGCCTGCAGTGGGATCAGGTCTTTTGTGATCTATGTACCTATCCCCACATCTCGGGGACACCAAACTCAGAGGAGGGGTCAGCCTTGAGATCGGGGCGTTGGAGAGGGAGGCAGTTTGTCTCCCATGTGCCTCCTTTCCTTTTCATCGCTCGCCAGGATGGGAAGGGACAGGAGTGCTATTTTTGGAGAATGGATAGGTCGTGTTTCCTCTCCTTCCAGGAGGAGCGCAGGGTAGAACCAGGTCTGCGGGCCTGGGTCCCCGCTGCGGTCTCCCCTTCACTTTCCTCTGCTGCTCAGACGAGTCCTCCAGGTGGCCGCGTGGCCACGGGCGTCCCTGGGCCGGGGGAACCTCCAGCTCCCGAGGAAGGAGGCTCAGGCAGAGGGCTCAGAAAGCCCACCCAGGGCTGCCTGGCATCTGGTCCGGCCCAAGAGCAGGTCTCCTGCTGCTGCCCGTGTGGTGCCCACGCCGTCCCCAGGGCTGTGCACATACACCCCCGCGGCATGCGGGGAGTAAGGCGACAGGCAACCAGAAAAGGGGTAGGAGGCAAGGAGGCCAGGAATACCAAATCTGTGATATCTTCCCCCAAGGAAGAGAGGCTGTCTCCCGTGTCTTGATAAATCGTGTTTTATCTCCTTTCAAAAGGAACACACATGGCAGAGCCGATTTATCTTGATGACGTTGTCCAGTCTGCAGAGGATCGTGCCTCTGCCGGGGAGATGGCCCATGTGCTGGGCTTCAGAGAGGAAGGCAGGGGAGAAAGCTGGAGGGACAGTCCAGGAGAGGAAAGTGAATGGGCCAGCGGGTACCTGGGGGGCACCTTCTGCTGTGTGCAAAGCCTTGTGCTGAGTGGAGTGTGGTGCCAAGGGGAGGAAGGAGCTGGTCTCACCCAATGTGGGGGGACATGAGACACAGGGCTGGTGACCGGGAGCTCAGGCGAAAGCAGCTGCCTTCAGTGCCCCCCACCCCTGGACCCCTACCTTCACCTCTATCTCCAAAGGCTGCTCATGGGAACAGCCGGGGGCTTTGTTCTAGCCTCACAAACCTACTCGGCTGAAGTGCCAGAGATGGGATGCTCTCAGAGGGGAGCTGGTGATAAATGCTCCTCGCTCGCCCTCAGTCAGGATACCTCTGAGGTAGAGTCCGTTTTACTATCCCTTGGAGTTCCGCAGCGGACCTGAGCTGTGGCTCCCCGTGGGGATTAGCTGGCTGGGTACCACTTCCTTCCCTTTCCTGCCTTCCTTTCCACGCCCCCCTGGTATCTTCCAGGAACGGCTCCCAAATAAACCACTGATGTGCTTCATCTCTGGGTCTGCTTCTGGGAAACAGCCTAAACCACGACAACGCTCAGTACCTCCCTAGGGCCTCGATAGAAGAAGCTCACGTGAATTGATATACAAGCTACATATTTGTTCACATGCAATGGCAATTATCTTAATTAGAACTCCTTTGATGCAAGTGATAAAAATCCATCTCCAACTAGTTGCAATAAAAAATAATTTTTTTGCTTTATACATGTGACAGGTACCAAGTAGACCCTGGGTTCAGAACAGCTATGTCCTCCAGCTGCTCAAATGATGTCAAAGGAATCTGCCCTTTGTCATCTCTTTACTCTGCTTTTCAACTGTTCAGGAAGCATTTATTGAGCACCTACTTTGTTCCAGGCACCGCTCCTTTCTCTCAGGAGGTTTCCTTCTCAGGCAGTAATAAAGATGGCTATGAGAAGCTCCAGGCTTTCATCCATCCAGCTCAGCGACTGTGGGAGAGAAAGGGCTCTAGCAGAAGTCTCAGGGCTGACCCTCCTTGGGGCAGATCGGGTCCCCTGCCCATCTCTGAGCCAATCACTGTGACTCTGGTTGGCGGAGCTGGGTCACATGCCTACCCTTGTTGCCAGGGAGTGTGGTTGGCCCCTTTGAACCACAGGGACTGGGAATGGAGGAGAGAGGCTCTCCAGAGGGAAATCAGGCAGACAGGGACAACAGATGCCTATTACACCTCTAGGACCAGCACTTCACCACTTGTTGAGCCATGTGGGTTCTAAGAGGTGCCACACAGGCCTCTGATGGAAGGAGGCTATCAAATACCTGTAACATACAGCAGAATGGGGCACATGTCTTAGGAATGGACAAAGTGTGTGGATGTTCTGGAAAGAGGGAGATTACTCCCAGCTTGGCCAATCAAGGTAGGCCTTCTAAAAAGGGGGCATTGACCTAGACATTGATGACCACAGGGCACAGTGTTAGGACTTGAGAGTCAGACCAAGGAGTTCAAATTCTAAGTTGAACCGGCTGAAAAGGACTATGCATTGATCTAGTTGTTAAAATGGAATTGGGCTAGCTCAGAAGAGCCTGCTGGGAAGGTTTGAGGGGCTGGCATTTCCTGTAGGCCCCGCCCACACCTGCGGAGGGGTGTACCAGCCCGTCTGCACCATGGCCTGAACTGCTAGAGGCTGTGTGTACAGAGAGGCTGGAGAAAAGTCAGGCTGGGGCCGCCGTGCTCCCTTGGCGTTGGCCCGCACCCGCCCTGGAAATAGCCACCCACCTAAACTAAGACTAGGAATTCCTGCCTGGCTGGCAGGAATGAATGCCGATTTCTCAAGGAGGGAAGGGCCTGAGAACAAAACCCAGCGTGTGGGTTGGGCCGTCCTTTGTATTTATTCGTGAGGTCACTTGGGAGCCGCGCCCACGTCAGGCCATCGATCCTGCCATTAGACCCGGACAAGGTGATTTGGCCAAGATGGCAGCCTCGGAGGCTGCTCCCGTGCCCCAGAGGTCCTGGGCCCTCAGCCTCGGGCGCCTCCTGCCCCCTGGGAGAGGTGACTGCTCCTCTCTTGTTTTCTTGACAAGGGGCAGAGGTGGTGGCTCTTGGTGGCCAGCTAAAACGCTGAGAAGCCGAGGGAGAGGGGAATGGGAGGGCAGGAGGCCCGCGTCCCATGGCAGCTTTCCCCAGAATCACCCGGCTCACAAGCGTCTCTCTTCCAGGCAAAATCCTCTTCCGGAGAAGCCACATCCGGGATGTAGCTGTGAAGAGGCTGAAGCCCATCGACGAGTACTGCCGGGTAAGGCTGTGTCTGGAGGTGGGGGGGCGGGGGGCGGGGGCGGTCCATCTGCCAGAGAGTCTGTGCATCTGGGAAGGAGGGCCGTCTGTCCCAAACCTCCTGCTGTGGTCTAGCAGGTGCGGCCTGACGCCCAGAAAGGCCAGGGCAGTGTCTGAGTGTCCCTCGAGGAGGGGTCACTCGTGACTGGGCCACCCTCTGGGGCACAAGGGCCTTGGGATCACAGCTGAGACTTGACTTCTTTCAGGACATGCCCATGTTTACAAAACACTATTTTAAATCACTTCCAGCGGCTTGGGAGCTCAGGTCTCCCGCCGACGGGATGTTCTGTGTGTGACATTTTCCTGGACACAGGAGAGCTGTTGCTTTGAATTACTTTTGGGACCAGAATTGTTGGAATCAGTTCTGAGTTCAATAGCACCTGAAACCTCTGAAATGCCTGTTTGTTTATTCACGGAAGTCCTGATGGTTACGGATGTTTATGTACACATTTTTAGCCGTGCAAATGCTCACACTTACACTCACACACACAGAGAGGCATGTGTGCCACGGGAGCATGAAAACAGCCAGTGCCAAAGAAGAGATGGGAGAGTGTCAGCAATGTCATGAGGAAGAGCCCATTTGTCTTTCCCGTCGGACTAGAGGCCGGGACCCCTGCAGTGAAGATGACAGGCTCCCACTTCAGTAGCCTTGGCACCTGGCCTCCGGATGGCTAGGCTACCTGGGTTCAAAACCCGCACCAGCTCTGTGAACTTGGGCAAGCCACTTAACTTCCCAGAGCCTCAGTTTCCACATCATAGGGAGTCATAGGGAGGAGAAGAGCAGCTCCCCACAGAAGGCAGTTATGGGGAGGAGAGGAACTGACTGACACAGCCCAGGCACCAGCAAGCGTCCGGCACAGGGGATGTATTCAGTCGGCGCTGGCTCTTGATTATTATTACTACAAGGCGTAAACAATTCAATGTTCCCACTGGCTTTCATGGAGATAGGATTTCTTAGTTAAATGAAACCCGCTGTGGAGTCTGACTCAAGAATCCTGAGGAGAGGCAAGTGTGGGATTGTCTTTGGTTGCAAGTGCTGGTATTAGGGTGGGAAGAGGTGGGATCGAATCCCACTGCCCCGCACCTCCACTAGCTCTGTGACTCTGGGCAAGCTAGTCTACCTCTCTGAGCCCCAGTTTCCTTCATGTATAAAACAGGGTAAAGACGGCTCCCTTGCAGGGCTCCTGAAGGGGGCTGGACAGGAGAATGTGTATCATAGCGTTTGTTGCTTCTCAAATGCTCTGTCCCTACGTGGAGTTGTGGCTGCAGGGTCTCTTTATGTGCTAATACTTTATGATTCAGAAACACTATGTTGGGCAATAAAAATGTTTAAATAAGAAGCAAGTTGCTAAATGTGTTAACTGGTGCTCCCAAGCCAATAGGAAGACGAGCACTCCCATAGAGTCTGCATTAACCCAAGTTTCAATTTTGTAGCTGTGCTGATTATACTTGGTCACATTTTCTGCCTTAACCTAAAAAGAATTCCCCATGATAAATCCCTTAACGCGAGAAGCTCCTCTTCTTCAGATCAATATTCATTTCTCTCTTTAAAGCGCATTTGCCATTTCCAGTTCAATTGATGGCTGCCGCCTGAGCTCGCTCTTCTCTTTATTCCTTTCCCAAGAAGTTAAATAAATGGGCACAGCCCATGGAGGAGGGGGCGAAGCGGGGGGAGGCCTCTCGCAGCTGGGGATTTATGGCTCACATCAGCCTCGGAGGGCATCTGCAGTCGGTGTGTCCTGGGCCATCCGGAGGAGGAAACCGATAACATCTTATCTACGGGGATCAGGCTTTGAACAGGACTCCTGAATCAGGATGAGATTCAGGGGGGCTGTGGGGCCCCAGTGGTGCTGCTGCTGGTGGCCGGGGGCGCCATTTGAGTGGGGTCTGCAAGAGGCGGGGCCTCCTAACCTGATTAGCCCACACAAGGGCTGCTCAGAGCCAGGCAACAAGGAGCAGCGTCAGGGGTTCAGCAAGCAGCCCGCCGTCTCCGAGGCCTCTAATTTACTCTGGGAATGGCAGGGGGGCAGGTCACTGCAGAAGTGACCTTTCATTCTGCTGAACTAGAAAGCTGGGATCTGTGCTCTGATAGTCAGAGACCTTGGAATGACCTTGGAATGGCCATTAGGGATAAGCCAGAAACAGTCCTTAGCCACTGCCCTCCCCCCCCCACCCCCGGCATTGCACATCACAGTTCTGCCTCCTGATGGTCCAATCTATGGCCACTAGGGATCCAAGTTTCGCTCAGCATCACTGGCCCCCTCTGTGAATTCCATGATCAGTGCCATGTACGGTCTACTCCATGGCCAGCCTTTCCTTTGTCCATGTCTGTCCTTGGACACACTGCTGAGAACCTCTGGGGTTTTTATTTCCGATACCCTGAGTATGCAGCTCTGCTTGGCTGGCCAACGTCTTCCTTGGACTGTTAGACAACATGGACTCCCAGGCCGGGATTTGCTGGGGATTCAAATGCACCCAAGATTGTGAAGCTGGCTCTGCACGCAGAGCGACCAGCTCCTCTGCCAGGACTCAAGACGTGGAAAGTCTGACCGTGCGGTAGACCTCCCCAGACTTCGGGCTCCCTGCCCTCGCCGGCCAGCCGGTCCCTCTGCCCAGAGGTGGTTTCACAGCCCAAATCTCAGTGTTAATTTTAAACATATATGGAGCAGATTGGATGGGCGTCACGGAAAATTTACCGAGTACCAGCCAGGTGATTGTTTTATGTGGCACTTGAGGGCTGGGTGTCTATCAAGAGGGGTTCCAAAGGCATTTCTTTAACTCCATAAATTAATTTAATGGACAACATGGTTATGCGGTTAATATTTAATGGTTCTGTGGCCTCAAAAAGTCGAAGACTTTCATCTCACTAACAAGCGAGAGCTATACTTTAGGGGCTCCGACTAACGTTTTATAAGTGACTCCATTTACCCCGTTCCTGCGTGTGAAATACATGTTTGCAGTGTTTGTCTGTGGGATAAAATAAATATCCCGGGGCAGGGGGTGGGTGGGGGGCAGTGAGAGAGAGTGTTTGAGAATGATCAACTCGCTCTTTGCCATAGTAATGACGTTTATACAAGTCTCCATTTCCTGGTGGGTGCAACTAGAATTTTTTTTTTTTTCCTCAAAAAGCTGAGATTGCTTCTATTATTCTGCTGTCCAAGATAGACTTGCTTTCAGGATCAATGTCTTTCTTTGTGGGAGGGATGAGGTGCTGGTTGTAGTCAGACAGGGGGAGGGGGGTCAGCCCTGAAGGACAGCCTTGAAGGCCCACCCTCCACATCACCCAGACTCATTCATTTTTATCCCCACTTCCCAGATTGAAAAACTGAGACTGTTTTGGGGTGGTGGTTCTTAGTCCCAGGCATCTCCCTCCCACCATGCATGGCCCATCATTGGCTCTCACCTTAATGGAGAGAAGGGTTCGTGTCCCAACCGAAACACACTCCTTGAAGAAGCACCATGGCTTCCTGTTATACTCAGTCCTGGATATAGGATTGACTGTTCTTGTGGCCCTCATTCTAAGGGCTGGCCTGGGCCAGGAGTGTTGCTGATGGTGAGACTGAGGCAGAGAGCGAAGATTGATGTGTTCATGCCTTCCAAGTGGGCTGGTACTCTGGGGAAACCCAACTGGTAGAATCTCTCCATCTCTGTTAGCCCACATAGACCCAGGAAAAGGATTTCCAGCCTGGGATAAAGCTGATTGTGTCCCTTTTCTCCTTAAAGACCCTCAGAGGAGCCCCCATTGCCCACAAGAACCTGTGAGGGGCTTGGCTGGGCCCTCTGTGGGCTCGTTCCAAGTGCTGCTCAGGCCTCAGCACCTGCCTCTCCTCCCGCCCTGCAGTCCAGTCCATCAGAAGTGCAGCCGTTCCCAACTAGCCAGAGTCCCTTAGGCTGCCACCCCTTTGCCCCTGCTAGTCCTTTTCCTGGGGATGCATTCAGTTCCCACGGTGCCCCTCCTAGAAGCCCCCTGACTCCCCAGGGAAAGCCGAGCACCCCAGAAAACTGTGCATGCCTCCAGGCAGGACACCTATCCTCCATAGGAGGACAGTTTCTGTCTGTCCACCTTCTCCGGACCAGAGGCTCCTTGAAGGCCACATCTGTTATCTTTGTGTCTCCAATAACAAGCAGGAAGCCTGGCCTCATGTGGGTGTCCAGCCAATATCTGCCGACAAGATACAAAGATCACACACAAGCAGAGGACACCTCCCAGGAGGGTGACATGTCCCCAAAGCCCCGATGTACAAGGAGCCCTTGTGACAGGGCTTCACTTGCTGCTGCGAACGAGACGCTATTTCCATTTCAAAAGGATTGCAGCTCCGTCTTTCAAAAAGAGAACTCCTGTGTTTGAAATACTGATTTACAGAAGTTCCGTGAGCCCAACTTCCTAGATGGGGATCCAGGAGAAACAGTCCAGGCAGGCCAGAGGCAGCCCAGGGGTGGGGCTGGGGGCAGGGAGTGGGCGGCCAGATGGATGGGACTCCAGCCCCCTGTGCCACGCCCCCACCCCACCCTTAGTCCCTGGGCTTTTACCCAGAAGATTTCCATTGATCAGAAATCAAAATGATGTTCCTAAAAAGAGGAAAATGTTTGATCCCGTGGAAAGAGCAGGATGCCCACGGTTGTTTTGCCAAATGTAAAACTTTTTTGTCCTTGGACAGACCTACCCAGAGTGGTGGGCTTTGTGGAGGGGGGTCCTTTCGAAGAAGGTCTGAGGACAGTCTGCCTGGGGCCCCCTCCCATGCCACCGCACTGGAGAGACCAGACTTGTGTCAGCCGCATCTGGGTGGAGGTCTCAGAGGTACACAATGCAGCCACCCTCTCTCTTATCTGAAAATGCGTCTTCTAGAATGATGACACAGTGCAAATGGTGGCCCATGTCAGTGGCTCCCAGAAAATGGTGTGGGGCAGGCCAGGAGCTAGAGACCTCAGGGCAGTTTAGCACTGGGGAAGGGGGGCACTGGAAGGACTGGCTGATGGCAAACCTGGGTGGTTCTTTAGCACCTCTTCACCAGTCTCCCCCAGCCCTAGGCACCCACTGCCCTCGGCTCCTTCCCTTGCCTCGTTTCTCCAGATCTGCCCTTAGCCAGCTCACGGACCCCCTGGACCACGGAATGGCAAGGTCAGAAAGGGACTGAAGTCAGCTCAACTGACGTGGGACAGGGGCCTGCATACTCTAAGCAGCCCCACGGGGCAATGCCCCCTCCCTAGATTCTGAGGCCTGGGAGGTCATGCTCGTTCCAGCTTTTCCCACATAACCTGAATCGAGAGGCTCGGTCAGATTGAATGATAGGTCAGACACTGAATTGACTCATAACGGTGCTGTTTGCAGTGCTGGAGCCGTGGGCTGTTGGAGCTGGAAGAAATTTCAGAATGTCCGTAGCCTGGATTCGTCCCAGCTGTGTTCCATGACTGTTAGTAGGACTTGTTGGAGGACCTGCTCTATAATCAGAGACCTGTGGGTAGAGTGCTGGAGGCAGTACAGACCGGAAGATCAGACAGAGCACAGGCTCTGGACTCGGATGGCCTCACTGAAAATCTTGCTTACTGGCTGTGTGGCCTTGAGAAATTTCTTAACCTCTCTGTGCTTTATTTGCTTCTTCTGTAAAACTGGAATTAGTCATAATGTGATGATTAAATGAGCCAATCCCCCAGCATGTCAAGATTATTCATAAATGCTGACCTAAACAAAGCCCGATAGGTTTCTTCCCTGCAGGACTTCTCAGAGCCTTTGCTATACTAATGAACATGGTGATCTCCATGACCAAGGTGGGGCATCTACAAGGCACCATTTCACATGTGCCCACAAAACTCATTTTACCTTCTCAAACAGGTGTTCCATGAGATAGCGTGAGATTCCAGAGCTAGTCTGCTTTATCCTAGAAGAAATGACAACCAGAGAGGTGAGGTGAGCTCACGTAGCAAGTATATAGGGGCAGGATTGGAACTCGAATTGAGGTCTCCCGACTCCCATGCCAGTGTTCTTCCTAGTATGCCTCACTGCACTCACCTAGAGAACAATAACAAGGACAATAGTGCAACAACTAAAATTTACGGACTGTTTACTCAGTGCCAGGCACTGTGCTAGGCTCCTCCTCATTATGGTCTCACTTAGCCTCCTAACAGATAGTGCCATGTCAAACCCATTGTACTGAGCTCAGAGAGGGCAAGCAACACGTTCAGAATCACACAGCCCATGAATGGTAGAGCCAGGACTCAAACCTGGCTGGCCCTGAGGCCCCGACTTAACCACCCCATGGCAGAAATCCTGAATGTCCAATGGCAGAGTTTTAGGCCTGGGTGGTGTCCTTGGAAATACTCATGTATGGCCCGCACCTGCTCCTCTCAGAACGGCTGGACTGGGGGGTTCCCCAGCTCTGGCAGTCATCACTGGCCCAGGCCCCGGGGACTGACTGCTCAGCATCTAGCCCTCCTGCCAAATGATTTTGGCCAGAACAGGGCTTGGCGGCAGCACGGATGGGAGCTGCCCTGAGCTGAGAGCCTCTCGTCAGCCTGAAGTCAGGATGAGCCCTCCATGCGGCTCCCTCCGGGGCTCTCTGTTAAATAAAGATGCCTCGGTGGTTCGACCAAAAGGCCTCTTTGTCTGAGGCCCTCACGGCCCACACGTCCTCTGCCCCCGGAATGCCGGTCTCTGTCGGCATGAAGAGCCCCTGTGTTCGCTGCTGGGGCTGCGTGAGCCCTTAGCCGGCCGGGGCCCGCGCCACGGGTGGGTGGCAGTGTGCTCAGCCGGGAGGGTGCTAGTGCTCTGGGCCGGCTGGAAACCTGCCCTGGCCCCTTCCCTCTTCCTTGCAGGGAGGTCACCCTGGCAGTGAGTCTGCACGCAGCCCGGGTCCCTGGTCATGGTTTCCCTCCTGTGTCCTGCCGGCCCGGCCCAGCCCAGCCCAGCCCAGCCCAGCCCTTAGGTTCTGCCTTGTGCGTACAGGCCTGATTTTCCCTCTGTCCCTGTCTGTCGTCTCTCTCTCTCTGTATATCTGTCTCTCCATCTGTGTCTCTACCTGTCTCTGTCTCTTTGTCTCTCTCCCTCTCTCTCTCTCTCTGTGTCTCTCTATCTTCCTCTTTCTCTCTCCTTCCTCAGTTTTTCTTTTCCTTTTCCCTCTACCCTCCCTGGGGGAGAAAACAGGTTAGGTAGGTTAAGTGAAAACCTGGACGCTTTGGGGGCAGTTTGCACCCATTCTACCTTCTAATTCTGCACATTAGCACAATAGCCTCAGTGTCCCCGTCATAAACAAAGGCAAGGATGTCTGCCTCCAGGACAGACTGTCTACCTCCAGCGACCCGTCATCACACGCGCTCTGGCAAGGGCAGAGGCTGCGTCTGACTCATCCCTGGGACCCCCGGCAAAGCCCCATGTCAGACGCACACACTGAAAGGCCCTCACTGTTTGTTGGATGAGTGGGGTCAAGGGGCCCAGGATGGTGCCTGAAACACAGTAGTTGCCCATTAAATGTTCATTTCCCTTCTTTTCTGTTTCCTGGCTGTTTGTGGGGATGGGATGTGTTAGAGACCCTTGGAAAGCCATGGGCTCTAGAAAGAACAGCTGTGAGTTGCCTAGTGTTGTCTTACCTGCTACAGTCGGGTCTTGTCTCATCTTGCCCAGGTGCGGGTATGACATCAAAAAGGACCATCGTGGTGGGATGCCTGGTGCTCAGTGCCGCACCTGCATGGTTTCCTGACCAGCTCAGAGAAGAATTGAACAATTGCTTCCCCGTTCCTTAACATTAGACTTCTCTTCTTGCAGTCAAAGACCACATGTGCTTTTTTTTTTTTTTTTTTTGCCCCATTTCATGTCCCACTACTATTGGGTATTGGGCTTGGCACAGCAAAACCCTTCTTCATTCATCCGTTTGAGCAAATACTTCTTGCCTGCCTGCTCTGTGCCAGGCACTCTTCTGGGATCTGGAGACACACAGTCAACAGAACAGAATCCCGACTGCATGGAGCTTACCTTCTAGCAAGTTCTTTTCCACCTTTGACAGGGCCTGTGGGCAGGCCACGTGGCCTCTCTGAGCCTCCACCTCCTCATCAGTAACATAAGGTTGAGGTCTGCCCTCAAGAGGACCATCATGAGGTTCCCAGTGACTCCGCACATGGAAGCCCCAGCACGTTCCTCGGTACAGGGGAGCTGCCAGATCGGGTCACGGCACCTGAAGCGGCCCCAGTGAAGGGGGCCCAGGGAGGCACAGGCACATGACAGGCTCCTGTTCAGCTGACCACTTACCTGGAGCCTCCTAATGAGCAGTCCTTTGCAATTCCCACAGTCCCAAGTTTCCCTCTCCCTTCTCCTGGCCCTGTCCCAGAGTTCCCTTGGCCCGGGCCCTCAGCCCTGCTTTGGCAGCGACTTCTCCTGTCTGTTTGGACTAAAGAACCATTCCAGTATCTTCTCTGAATACGGAATGGAGTGGCCAGGGGCAGGGCTTCACCTGGTCTCACGACAGCACCCCCACCCCGCCTCCATGTTGGGCAGGTCAGGGGTCCCCAGTGCCCCAGGCTACGAGGGGTAGAGAATGCGCTGGTGCGCAGCAGGAGCTCTGACCACCTCTGGCTGTCACGGCTCACTTTCCAACAGCAGATGCTCAGGACTCCCTGGAGGACAAGCTCACAGCCGGCCCATGCTCCTACCTGGACAGTTATCCCCGCCCGGTGACCATCTTCTCCTCTCAGTGTCAGAGTGTCTTTCCTAAACCCCCTTCTCTGCTAATCGTCCTAGGTCCCGTCGGATTCTGTCACAGCCCCCTGTTGTCCTTGCTAGAATTATCTGCTTGTCATTAAATAATTAATTGTGCAGTCAGTATTTAGGGACAGTGACTATCTGGCGATCCTGGAATGTGGCTAATAGGAGACGAGGCTGGTAGAATAAGATCTTGGGTTGTCAGGCTAAGGATCTTGGGCTTACTCTGTGGCCAGGAGAGAATTCTCTCAGGGTTCATGCAGAATGACGAGCTCCTTGAGGGCCCTGAGACCTAGGGATCAATGGACACTGTTTTTGGTTTGGTTGGCTGGTTGTTTAGTGGACGAACTGGCTGGTTGAATGGTTGGTTGGTTGAATTGCTGGCTGGATGGTTGATAGATTGGGGTTGACTGATGAGTTATTTTTATTAGTTGACTAGTTGGTTAGTGGATTAATTGGCTGGTTGGCTAGTGGATGGGATGGATGGAGAGCTGTTTTGTTAGCTAGCCGATTAGTTGATTTGTTGGTGAGTTGTCTGGTTGGGTGGGCGGCTGGCTGGTCGACTGTGTCGTCCACGGCACCGTCCTTGAGCCTCTGCCGTCACTGACAGCCCAGGGTGACCCTGCTTTGGGTTTTCATCAGACCTAATACCCTTTTTTCCTGTCTTTCCACAGGCACTTGTCCGGCTGCCCCCCCACATTTCACAGTGTGATGAAGTCTTTCGGTTCTTTGAGGCCCGACCGGAGGATGTCAACCCCCCAAAAGAGTAAGTGGCAACTCAGGTCTCTTCTGTGTGCTTTGAGGTGTGGGCCAAAGCTGAGGGCAGCCTGGAGAGGCTCAGGATGTGGAGACACAAGGAAAAGGAGATTGACCAAAGGGATATGGACCATTAGTCCCCAGGCTCTTATTGCCAAAGCTTGCTCCTCATTTCCCTTGACCCCAGGGCTGGCAAGTAAGGGTGTCTCTGCATTTGGGGAGCAGGTTTTCCTGCACACTCATTCTAGCTCACATGTTACTGTAAGGATCAGATGAGGTAAAAGAAAGTCTAATGGTCCCTCTGCTCAGATGTCCAGGATTAGCAGTCATTGCTCTTAATTGTTGCTGCTACCAAGCTCCCAGATGCAATGCAGGCCCGGGGAGGCATGTGCTGTCCAGGCTGAGAACTCGCCTGCTGAATAACTGCTGGGCTAGTTCATAATAGACATTAGTAGCCGTGTTTACAGAGGAGGAAACTGAGTCCCAGTGAGTTTAGGTGATTTCCCCACGTCACACAGCTGGTTGGGTATGTGACAGGCAGGAGGCTTGAACCCAAACCTTTGATTCCCAGTGGCCCCCATGCTGGCTGATATTTCCATGTTTGGGGAGAAATGGGGAACCAGGCAGGTGTCTCTTCTCTGGAATCAGGATGCTCTGGGTCTGATGTCAGGATGATATACCCAGTCATGCTGGTTTCTCACACACGTGACCAGACTCCATTGTGAGGGCCACCCTCTCTTGCTCAGAACAGTTCCCTCACCTGACCAGGTTCTCAGTGGAGACAAAACTCTGGTTTCCACCAGGAGCTGATGAGCAGAAGAAGGCAGGCAGGCAAGTGTGTTGGCTAGAGGATGGGGGGAGGACTGTCGGGGGTGCTATTAGATCACCTCAGTCAACGTCTCTTTTCCCCTAAAATCTTAAAGTACCAGGATGGGTGGCAGAGACGCAGAGGGGGTGGGTACTCCAGAGGGAAGGGGAAGAATTGGACGGAGGAGCGATGTGGGACAGGTGGGAAGAGGCCAGAGGCCATCTGGTGGATGGGGGAGGAGACGTCTGAAGACAAGGGTGTGCATTGCGTGGCTCTGGGGACACCATTCACTGCACTGGGAACAGCGTCCACGGAGGTTGTAAAGCGCACCGTCTGCACACCCATACATGGCAGTCCTGCCGAAAGGGGACCTTCTCTTTTCACTCGTACTAGAAGACCAAGAGCCTGGAATGGCCTGGACCCGCTGGGGGAGAAAAACCTACCCAGCCCAGAGTCTTGCCATCTCTCTGATGGCTGCCATGGGCTTAAGAAACGAGCAAATGCTGCAAACCATCAGAAACTCCTCAGTGACTGGCTCACAAGGCAGACTCGTTGAAAGCTACAGAGAATAGGATGAGTTCACACCCCAGCTCTGCTGCTTACTAGCCACACAACCTCCAGGCAGGTCACTCCCATGGCTTCCCTGAGCTTCATTTCCCTCACCTGTGAAAAAGGGAATAGTGATGAATCCCTGTTCTTGCTACCTCCAGGGCTTATCTGTGAAAGTCAGAGGACATGAGGGCTGGGCAAGAGCTTCGTAAACAACAAAACGAGATAGAAATGTGTGTTCCACCAGAGGGAGAAGCACTGCTCTCACTGCACCTGCTATGTGTCAGGCTCATGAGAGAGGACTTAGATTCTTATCCCCACACTACAGATGAGGAAACAGAGGCTCACAGCGGGAGCCCGGACTTGAACCCAGACTCTTCAGGTTCATACAGAGGCCCGTACTCTTCCCACTGCTCCCGCCTGCCTCCCTGGTTTGGGAGGGCTCAGGGGGACTGGGGTCCTGACGCCTCTCTGTGTCGCTCTCCGTGCTGCTGCCCTAGCCGTCCTCACTCTCTCAGGGCAGAGGAAGGCTCCTGAGACCCCAGCAGTGGCCCCGGTCCATCCAGCTGTGATGGTCTCTCACAGCCTGCCCTTTCCTTTCCATTCTTCCTTCCATGGGGAGAGAAGAGATGTCCCTCCCCAGGCGATGGTCCCTGAAGTCCCATATGATCACGTGCCCACCAGAGGGGAGAGGGATCGTTGCTGTCGGGTGAAGGAGCAGGTCCATCGCCACAAAATCACTGACCCTGCCTTTGATCCGTGCCCCTCAGCCCCGTTCTCTGCCAGTCAGCTACATAAACTGGTCCTATTTCACCTCTCCACCTACGCACTCATGGCAATAGGTTGGCCTTTTGCCCGTTTCCAGAAGGCCCTCAGGAATGACGCTAGCCAGGCGTGGGGAGACGGTGGTGCATTGGTGAGGCAGTGGGCATGGCCTTGCAGAGCCAGGCTCTGGGGTCAGGGCCTGCCACTCAAGGCGGTGATCTCTGGCCATTGGCTCAACTTCTCTGTGTTTCTGTTTTCCCATCCCTAACACATGATAACGCGGGACTCATGGAATGGTCAAGAGGGCTGACAGAGATAACAAGTGGATGAAGACCACCCATAGGAAGGACTCAGCAGTTTTGTTCATGGAAGGTTGTAGAACAGAATGGAATGTGGCTCAGTGCACACTCCCCCCTGCAGATCACAGCCTGGCTTTTGCAGGGAGGGGTCATAAAGCATTTGCCTCCGAGTCACCATGGCAGTGGGGTTATCGGCCTCTTTCTTGAGGTGCTGCCAGCCACCTGGGCTGGTTCACAGCTGGTCTGGCAAGAGACGGCCTGAGACCAGGAAGCCCTCCAGCACGAGACAGACCTGAGGCTCAGGAAGTAGGGTCAGCTGTGGACAGACAGTTCTGAAGGGCTCCTCCTCCCTGGCCACGCTCAGCCTCCAGGAACTGCCAAGAGAGACGTGTGTTCCAGACCACGGTGTGCTTGCCGTTAAGAGCCCAGACCCGTAGGTGACCCTGGCCTGACAGGCTGACGATTTATCAGCCAAGGGCCCGCACCCCCCTGTCTTGAGCTGCTTGCACCTTCCCCGCCGGCCGCAGTACACCTCCCCCTCCATCCTGAAACATAAACACAGGATCAAGTAACAGTGTATTTTGACTGGGGGGGGGGGCGCGACTGTAGAGCGGCTTATCGAATTATCAAAGCCTGTGGATTTAATTGGAATTTTGCAGATAACCCCCTGGCTCTTTCAAGTGTGCTGCTGCAGGAGCCCTGCGGTGTGCACAGGGCCTGGGGGCGGGGGGAGCTGGGTTCCTTTCGCATCTTGCTTCCCGGGAAGGCACGGCTGTGGCAGCCCAGCCTTGGCGGGGGAGGCGGAGCAGGCCCGCGCCCCTCGGCTTTGACCCTAGGCCGCTCAGGGGCTTCTGTGGGGGGAGAGCAGGGTCCTCTTCTGAACAGCTAGCCTGACTCTAGACCACCAGCCCCACACGGAAAGGATGCTCCTTATAGACGGACACTTCAGGTGAGCCTGACCCAGCGCAGCCATGGTAGCGCCCCGTCTTCGTGCACCCACCCCAGGAAGGCAGCTCCCGTCCTCCTGCCTCCCGCGACGAACACCGGCTGCTGGGCCAACCCCAAGCCCTGGCCCAGATTCGTCCCTTCCCTCCGCACCCCGCCATCCACTCGGCACGTCTGGTGTACACTGCCTCCGGAGTGTTTCCGGACCCAGGCTGCCTCTCAGCATCTCCCCTGCTGCCACCCCGAGCCCTCCTATCACCGGTCCTCCCATGGAGTCCGGCCTCCCTGCCTCTGCCCGTGCTCTCTCTGTGGTCCATTTTCAACATAGCGGAAGGAAGGATCATTTAGAAAGATGCGTCAGATCATGTGGCTCCTCTGCTGAAAATCCCCCATGCCTCCCACGTCCCTCAGAGTCAGGGCCCCCTCAGCCTGGCCCTCCCTTCCCTCCGACGGCACCCTCTGCCGCTCCCCCACTCCTGCTGCTCTGGCCTGCTGGCTGCTGCCCACCCCTGGCAGCCCTGTTCCCGCCTTGGGGTCTTTGCACTGGTTCTTGCCTCTGCCTGGGCCCCTTGGCCCCTCTCCAAGTGAGCCCCTTCGCCTGTTCCCACACCTCCGTCCAGTCTTTCCTCAAACCGCTGCGCAGCAGGGCGGGCCCTGGCCTTCGGCTAAAATCCCCCGGCGCTTGCCCTCCCCTTCCTGGCTTCATCCTTCCTTGGGGAGAACGCATCACCTCCCACACATGGCCTGTCCACACGTGGCCTGTCCACGCACGGTGGTGACTGTCGGTCCCTGTCACTGGGATGTCGGTTCTGGGGGAGTGGAAGCTTGTACCCGTCCTCTTCACGCTATATCCCCGGCGCCCAGAGCAGGTGCTCAGAGAACATCTGCCAGAGGAAAGACTGATCGTTCAGCCTTTGTTATAGTCTTACACGGGAGACAGCCCGTGACGGGACTCCGCGGAGGAGATCGAGGCCCAGAGAGCCGGTGTAGCTTACCTCAACAGCCAGCTGGCAGGCAGCAGGGCCGGAGTCCAAACCCGGCAGGCTGGCTCTCGGCTGCCGCGCCTGACACGGCCCTAACCCCGCACTCGGCTCGTGCTGCCTAAGTCGGCCCCCTCCTCGAAGCACCCCCTCCTGGTCCCCACCTGGCCAGGGCACATGGAGACCAGCCTTGGCCCCTTGGACAATTGATTTCTTTTTGAGGAAGATGTGTTCTGGGGAAGCCCAGTGGTTGAATAGGAACACCCACAGGTGTGTGTGTGTGTGTGTACATATGCGTGTATGCATGTGTATGCATGTGTGAGTGCCCTGATGGGGGGGCAGAAAGGAAAAGGAAGATGTTAGCTTTCTTGGTTACTTCCTCTGTACTCCATGTATTATCTCATTTAAATCTCAGGCCGCCCCTGAAGTCAGTAATATTGTCCCTATTTAGCGGATGGGGAAACAGAGGCCCTAGCAGTACATGGCTTGCCCCAGGCCACACAGCTGAGAAGCCGGGGAGGCAGACCTTGAACAGGCCCGCTTGCCTGGGAATGGGGGGCACCGTCCTGTCAGCCACCCCCACCCCCCACCCCCCACCACACACACACACACACACACACACACACACACAACCTTGGGAGGGAACTGAGCATCTCCCCCTCCA